TCAGATTCACAGCCTAAATTCCAGAAATCTGAGATAAAATTAATATTATCTTCAGTATAAGCAATGCCTGCGCCTAATCTATTCAAATTCTCATTTTTTGAGTCATCTGAGTAGATCAGAATAGAGTCTTTTATATTAATTGTAGAGATCTTCTTCAAATGCTGTTCATGTTCTCTCTCTTTAGATAGTTCACTTATTTGTAAGTCTATGAGAGATTCCAGCTTTTCTCTCCAGAGAGATATCTTCTCACAATCAATTTTCTCAACATTTAATGAAGAAAATTGATTCTTAATAAGTGAACATAGTCTATACAGTTGAGAGGGCATTTTCTTTAAAGTATTATTCTCATTTCAATCAAGAAATCTATTTCAATTCAGTTCATTTCCTGAGTTAACTGATGAAAATGAAGAAGAGACTCTTTCTCTGATTATATGATTTGAGCTCATCTTCATGACTCTCAGAGCATAGTTCATACAGGCCTTTTCAAATTGAATAGCAGGAGGTGGAATTGAAGCTTCAATTTCCATTGCTTTAATAGGAGATGACTTGAATGCACTCAGAATTCTTCTCAAAGCTCTGTTTTGTAGACTTTGAAAGAGTTCAGTGAAGTTTCCTTGATTGTTTCATCAAACTTGAACTTCATAATCAGCTACTGATGTAATACAGGCTATGTATAACTGTCTCATAGCCTGAAAGGATAGACCTCTCTCAGTATTTAATAGTCTGATTATACTATTCAGTAGTCTCTCTGCCTTGATGATTCTTTGTTGAATATGATATTTAAAATTCAGCTTGGAGTTTAACCATACTCCTAGCCATTTGACATTTAAACCAGGTTTAATCTCTTTATTCAAAAGAGTTAGACTTAGTTCTTTCTCATTAAACCTGGGAAAAAAGTGAATTAACTCAGTTTTATTCATATCAAATTGAATTAGATTGATATCTGCTCTAACAAAGATTTTCTTTGCTGCTTTCTCAATCACTTCTAAGTTCTCTTTGATTGTCTTTGAACTGTAGAGTAGACCAATATCATCTACATAACTTGAAGATCTCACTATT